ACCATCAAACATTGTCATTCATTCCCCATTTGCCTGACATTGGCAGTCCATGACAAGGCTTGTTAGAATATCGACATACGGCTTCTTCCTCTTAACGTCGACCTGGGAATTATCGAGTCCGAAAGAAGTACAAATGTCATTTAACACTTTGATTGAAAAGTTTTAAAGCTTAGAATTCTTAACTAGATCACAAATGCTGTAATCGTTGTACAAGATTGGATGTGCGTGCTGAATAGAAATTTCAGACATCACCTTTTTACTCATTGCTTGTAGCTGGCTCTCCTTTTCTGCTCTCTTTGTCTTTGACCTCTTGGTGGTCGAGACTTCGCTTTGAGGCCAGACGAGAAAAAAACTAGAAATTTGCCTGCTTGTAAGAAACTCAGAGCAGTCAAATAGCTGCTCGCCGTTTTCGTCTTTCTCAGACCTTAATAATCTTGAGACACTTGCAGCATCTGCCTTTTGTCTGGGTATAAATTTGTTATTTGTTTCTGAAAACGTTCTCCTGTACTATTTTGAGTCATTTCAAATGCACGAATGCTCCTTAACTCTTTGGTCACGCAATCAACATATGACGTGATTTTGTGTCTTCCGTGTGCTACTTTGAAGAGTTTCCTGCGTCGCGAGAAAATATTTGCCCAAAGAAAACTTTACTTCATCTTGAAGATCATTCCTTCGGCAATTTACATTCGTAATTTTGTGGAATTCTGAATAATGGCACATGGTGAAAAAAGAGGTTTTCTTCACCGACATTTTTTTGTAACGGAAGGGAGCACATGGTTTTTTTGCATGGCTAAAAGCTTCTAAGCAACTAATTCCTACACAACTTACATTTTGCAGAATACAAAGAGTCTATGAAAAAGCTCACGTTGGTTAGATTTCCCTAGACGTAATAAGCGAGCGAAAGTGTTCAATTTTCGACCTGTTATGACCCGATTCATCGATTCCAGAGGGTGAAAGCGAAAAGTTCGTTTTTCTCGAAAATAAAAACAATTTTGAGGAAAAAAAATACACAGCCTTTCTTGTCTTAATAGGGTCTACTTGTGTGCAAAAATTGAGACAATTTGAATTTTTGACCCTTGCCATAAAAATATCATTTTTGTTTGATTTTTGCACGGATGTCCTCTTAAGAAATCTTAGTGAGGTAACTGGTGAAAATTGATTCTCGCCGCTGCTTCACTCACACACTCTGAAACCCATGTCATTCTCTTTTACTCGCATATTGTCGCTGTAGAAGAGTTTGAATACGCTTATGCTCATCTTTCATTGATAAAAGTAGAAATTTTCTAACTCTAACTGGAGCAAGAAATCAAAGGACGAGCTTATCATCGGAGTTAACAAGAGTGCATTGTAAATAACGAGGTTTCAAGGTCTTATCCGATACGATCCGTTAAACATTAAATTATGAATCGAATGTGTTACTTACAGCCAAGTCAACTCGGAGTTGTTATTAAAGACTCTAGGTGGTAGCTCCTTGATTTGGTTTCCATATAAGTACCTAACATACAAACATATAACATATAAACAACATATAATTGAATATAAGATCTCACCTTAATGGACAAACATGATTCCCATGTGAGTCTAGGTTAATGTGTCCTTTTAAACATTTTCTATTTAAATTTGAGTTAGTTGAATTAAACTGGAAGTGGGTCAAAATATCATTTAATATATGTTGAAAAGCCCCTTAATGAACAAAAATCTAGCGAATTTGGGAGCGAGGCAAAGTTCAGAGGTTCGAAGAATGTTTTTTTTTCAGATGCATTTTGGATAACTGCTAAAATTTTAGCTCATCTGCATGTATCATAGCTTTATTTGATTTTCAATGCAGCCGATCGCATGGACCAGTGGGCAATTAAAATTTGGAACCGAGTTTTGGTAAATAAACGATAACATTTGTTTGATTTTGATCTCAATATTACGAACTAGCAATATGTTCTCAAAGTGGGAGGGAGGGAAGTGGGAAGGAGGAGGTTGGAATTTGCTGATTTTGCCATACTTGTTCACTTCAAATTAATTTCTTTTCGATTGGCTGAGTTTTGAACTCTCCATCTTTCGGCAAATTGCGTTTGAATTTGGGTTGTGTCGCGATAAAATTAAACTGATCCCCTGTATGAGTCGCTACAAAAAATGTGGTCTTGTGTAAGGAGAAAAACTTCATGAAAGGTAAATGAATTTAAATGGGATTTTGAACGATTGAAATCGGATTTCTGGTAAATTGCAAAACAGTGGTTTGAAGGTAAAGGTAAAAGTGGCCTTCAAAACAACATTTTTTATAAATGTTCAGGACAGGGGGTTGCGGTCAACTCCCGCAGTTTTCGTACAAGGAAGATCCACGAAGAAATTGTGAAAAGTTCATTCATATGTTCAAAGAACATATGAATATGGTGCGAGCTCAATAGATGGTAAGACAGCGAACCTCCTGCCGAAGAAACAGTAGAAGAAGCGGATTGTGCCTGTTTGGCTAAAGTGGCAGGCAAAAGACAAAGCTTTGGCAGCTTTCCGTTCCTCCATCGCTGGTAAGAAGAACCCGAAAAAAGTTCAGGGGAGGAGTATGAAACTGATCTCTTTAAGGTTGATATCAAACCAGAAATATATGCCCAAACTGTCTACAGCACTTCACAACACCCAATAGGCGAGGCCCTAGGACGTTAATTGTCCAGCCCCTCGGAACTGGGTGTGACCAAGGACCTAAACAAATCAATCATGGTGCAGTTAGACACTACCTCCACATGCAACACACCACCAGATAGAATTGCTCAATCGTTGATCCCTCTAGGGCAGACGAAAAAAACTATCTCACTCACAGCAAAGCAACCTTATTCGCCTATGACAACTCTTAGCTGTGGTGAAGCTTTTCTTTGCTCGAAATTGATTTCTTTCGCATTATATGTTTTATTATTTATCAAGCAAGTTGATATTTCGCTACCGCTAAAGTAGATGCGAATAATATACACAGGAAGAAATATCAAGAATCCGTAAACGGAAACGTGGAAGAAATATGTGAAAACCTTGCGGAAACACGATGCTCAACACGCGTTTTCGCTGTCGGTTTGGTGACGTTTACTCGTGTTTCCGTTGCTGCGGTCACAGCGGAACCGTATCACTTTTTTACATGTTTCCGTCAGGTTTCAGTTGAAGGAAAACAAACAAATGTATCCGCAAGTGTAACTTCATGTTAACATGTGCGAAAACACATAGTAACGTGGCGGAAACATGAATTTTTTATATTTCCGTCGACGTCATCATACCTAAACGTTCACGGAAATACAAGGTCACGTTCCGGAAACACGTTTTTCTCTTGTTTCCGTAGACGTAATCAGACAGAATGTCGATGGAAATACTGGGTTACTTTTCGGAAACAGATTTTTGTCTCATTTCTGCTGACGAATTCAGATCTAGAGTGGACGGAAACACTAGATTTTGTTCAAGAAACACTTTTTTTTCTTGTTTCCTCTATATATCGGACTCTTTCAGCACTCGTTATTCATGATCTTCCTTTTTCATTACAGGACAGGTTAATATGTTCTGATCGTGCGGTGTTATATAACCCCTACCAAACTTTTATACCGTACGTTTGTGAAATCTATGCTCCACTATGTACAATCACACATATACAAGAACTATATTTTCTTTACAGCTTCAATCAATTTATTTTATTCTTCTTCTTTTCTTCAATCGATCGACCGGTGACAATTTTTATTATATATTCGCTCGTCGTCCTTGTCATTTGAACATAACATACCTGAAATTCCTTACTTAACAAATGAACATCAAGAAAAACGTACAGCTGGTATGTATGAAATGTCAGATGTTCTGAAAATGTATAGAATTAGTCGCTGCGGACAGCCGGACGAGAGCCGTTAGTTGGTGAGGGCGTGGTGATTCATTCTCGATCAGCCCGGTTAACACGTTGCTTCTCAGTCAGTAGCAGAAAGCGCTTTGGCATGGAATAATCAAACTAGTTGTGCATGCGTACAGTGATGTATCTGATCAGGTATTTCCAGGGCATTAAGCTCGTAGATTATCAAATAAAACCCCTCGTTACATCTCTTGGGTAGAACGTGCGCTATGATTAGTCCATTTAGCGCGCCGTATTTCACTGCATGGCCCGCTAAATTCAAAAGTTTGTTTTGATCGCCAAAATATCTCTTCAAGAAAAATTTGAACAGACTTAAGGAAAAGTACGCCAACGAGGAAAAAGAGCAAAACTTAGAAGCAGATATCCCAATCTTTCGAGTCGGATTCTTCGAGTTTTTGAGTAGGATAAGCGGCAAGTAGAGAAATACGACTATCTACGACGAACATAACTCGGGTCGTAAACCAGATTATTTAGTTGCAGCCGAAAGGTCGTCGAATACTTTGAAAAGACAAAATACGGGTGCAAATAGTTTGTAGGGTTTTGCGAACAGCAGGTTGATGGAAATTCTAATGTAATAAGCATACCTGCTGCTGCTCTCGATAAGCTCCTGGGCAAGTTCTTTAAAGGTGTCGACAAGCAAAATGACAGTATTTTAAGCTTTCAAATTGCATATTCGAGTTATCTTCCTCTAAATCGTCCCGTTTTTCTTCCTCTTAAAGCTCTAAAAAGTAGGTTCAGCTCTCAAGCAAGTCCACGTCTTTCTTTTATCACGTCAACAAGCAACGACTCAATATCAACCCGTCTTTAATCTTTTTCTTTTTTGTGGTAGCTGATGCGATATCTGGTTTCACCGACATACTTCAGATCACTAATGAAGCTTAGCCACAATCTCTCACACTCCTTTTGGCAGGTACTGGTGGTTACGTCTGCCCTAGCGAGTCTCCAGCGAAACGAGGAATATCAAACGAGACAGCAGGAAGCCCTGGCAGGAATGAAAGATCTCTGAACATTGCACCGCAAAAAAAGCATTTTTTTAAATGAGTTAGATTAATTCAAAATGAGTTAGATTAACTCAAAATTTGAGTTAACTCAGGAATTAACTCAATATATTGAGTTAAGTTACTCAAATATTTCTACTAAAATTTGTCAAGTAATATAACTCACAATATGTGAGTTTATTTACTAGGTATTGAGTAAATTAACTAAAAGTTGAGTCTGTCATAAGGAATACAGGGATGAGGGATGATTTTGAGATGGGCTTTACCAGCAAAGGATGCTTTCTGCTGGGATATTTTTGCTATATTTGCTACACATTATGTAACAGTATAAAGTAACACGTGCACTATGACAAGACATAGTACACAAGCAATTGACACAAATTCGAACAATATTAAACAACCTTTACAAATCGATCCATCCCTAAAATGGCCAAAGTACATGAATAAAACACCCATAAATCATTGAAATACCCAATAACTCTTTGATAATTCAGAGAATCTAACTCAAATGTTGAGTTAAATTACTCAATCGCATTATGATATCCAAGTTGGTTTCTGAGTAATTCTACTCAGAAAAAATGGAGCATGAATAGCACCACAACATAGTTGAAACAAAAGTAATTATTTTTTTTAATAATTTTTCTTTATATTTTTGCAGCCATTTTAAGAAACTTTACTTTCTATTCTGCAATATACTATTTATCATGATTTTTTCTGTATTATTTACATGCATCAATATAGCAAAATGTAACCAAAAATATCATTACTGCATAAGATCCAATCTGTATTTCAATGTCACGAAGACTTGGTTGGCATAGCAACCAAATCCCTTAACGAGACCAAGGGGGTAATAATCTAGAAGCTCAGATTGCTTAATATATCTTATTTCGTTCAGTTGCTGAACTTTAAAAGCATTTAAATGACAGACAAATTCAGTAACATTTATTTTAAGGTACTGAAACCAAACTATGTGTCTCTCAACAACCAAAACCTTTTGGATCTTTCCCAAAATTGGAAAGCCATGGTGGTAGTCAATTACAATAACATCGCCCTTTACGTATTTGGTTCCATAAACTTTAACCCAGGATGTGCGTGTCAGTGAACTGTCGCCTTTAGTTTGGGGGTCTGCCTCTTGCAGCTCATCTTCTACTCCTGCTTCTTGAACAGTTGTTACCCTTCCAACAGCTAAAAAGTTATATAAAATATATATATATATTAAAGGAAACTCTCATGATTTAGCCAATGACATTGAACATGGGGTTAAATTAATTTAATGCTTAGGTCATTAATTACTGGGGGAGGGCTGGTAAGTTTAGGGGGCTTTGATTTGGGAAGGGCCAAAAAATTTTGGACCAGCATTTAGGGAGAGGGACAAGGCTTTGATTTGGGGAGGACAAGATTTCTTGGGATGAAGGTTTAGAAATTTTACTGGCCCTCCCCCCCAGTAATTAATGATGGCTCCCTTACCAGGTCCAATTTCCAAAGACACTCTCAAATAGTTGCCTTGTGAACTTTGCATTCGATAAGTCTGAAGGGCTTGATGCCTCATAGCCAAGGAATAGGTGATATTTTTGAAATTGTTGATGTTGTCTACCAGCTTTTTAAAGTAGTTATGTTTGGCCTCGAACCTCATGGCCCAGTTTCTTACTAGGGGACCATTTCTGTAAATGGAAGATTACTAGATATTATTAAAAAACTCATTAATAATTCATAAGCCTTTGGGCCAACTGGATACACCATACATATTACATGCATGGACCTTTATACTCGATAATGTCCCCCTTTAAGTCCATCTTTTAGATGAACCTTTATATAAAAAAAATTACCTTCATTAGTATTCTTTATATAAAGAACACTAAGACAGATGACTTTATCTGAGAGGAAGTATATGTCCATGTTTAGATGAAGACTTAGAGCCTCATCAAGGTCTCATCACACCCTAAAATTCCAGATTGCCATGTATAGAATATTGAGCATGTGGGAGTTTCTTTTAGAGCTACTCGCACATGCCTGTGACGTCAAATATCTATTGAAGTATGAAAGTCCATGTATGGTGGCTCCAGTGGAACCAAAATCTTATAATTATGAGGTCTAAAAACACTCGGCTGCACCTCATGCTTCTAAACCTGATAAGACATTATTGCTCATTCATTAAACATCACATAAAACTATAAGTAATACTGCATTATATACCCATGTATAAGCTGCACTGCAAGTTTCAGAAAACTTAAATAATCAGCATGATGAAGTCTGAGTGGGCTAATAATACATATATTGAAAGGGTATGTAAAGTTATGAAAGGTGGATAAAGTGGTAATACCCTTCCCCTAACCCCCAGTAGTACAAAATGTACAATGCTTACAATTTCAATATAAAAAGACATACTTGATAATTTGATTTGGGTAATGCACCATGTAATGCTGTTTTGGGATTGGAAGCCGGTCATTGAGGTTGACATAGTCCTCTAGGTACTCCTCTATGAGAACTCCAAGATATGCAGCCAGCTGTGGTGTTGCTTTAGGAGCAAAAACAATTTCTTCAATTTTCAGTAGTCGCAAAAAGTTTTCCCAGTGCTCATCATTTTGTGGAATCAAGTCTCCTATAAGTATAGGAAACATTCTTGCCAGGCACCACATCCGAGCTGCTGGTGAAAGAAAGAAAAAGAATATGAAATTATCATGTACTTTTAGTATACAACAAAGCCTTTTATATATATTTTTTGTATATTTCTTTTTCTTTTTAAAATATAACATAATATATAATAGTAATATGTAACTCAACCATTGCAAAACATCATTCTCCTAACCTGACTGTGAAATCCTCATTGAATTGTTTGCCAATGACTGCGGCTTTATAGGACTTGGTTTATTGCTAGCATCAGATTGAGGATACCACAATCTTTCTAATCTGTCATTCACAATTTCAAGTGTGAAATAATTTTCCTCTTGAATGTACTTCTGTAACAGAATCTTGACTTCTAGGGGCAGCACTCCCTCAAGTTGGTCATGCATGACATCAAGAACAAGTCCATCCTTGTTTTTACCCCATAAGTTGCTTCTAGATTTGCATCATTTTCTACAAGCCGGCAATGTCTGTCATGGATTGCTCTTGTTCTAATTTGAAAATCTGCTTCTGTAAACTAATATCAATGTGACATTCACAATATGAGTTGTATAATAGTATATTCATCTCAAGTCCATGAACTTTGAAGTGTAGACTCATATTAACACTATTGACACAGGGTCTGATCAAAAGTCTAAACTTATTTGTAACAAAATTTAGAATGCCGGTAAATAATCTTTTACACTTGACACATTGAATAATGACCAAAAATGCATGCACACTACTACTACTACCTTTGTGTTAGTGTCTTCTCTAGTTGCCATACAAATTCTACAAATCCTTAGACCAGAAAAGCTCTCCTGAAAAGGAAGAAAACAAATACATATTTTTTAATTAAATTATAAATTAATATTAATGACAGTTATTTAGGTGACAGTTAAGTGTATGCTACAATATACTTACTGCCTCTAGTTGATGCAGGTCTTGCATGAATGGCTGCAGTATCCTATTCATTCCATACTTTTTTATGAGCGGTACTCGGCACAAAGCAATTAGCTGAATTGAGTTGATAACAGAACGGTATTCTGGACTAAGATTTCCCAGATTGAAGTAAAAGGCTCCTGATGTTCATAAAAAATCAATTTCAATGGCAATAGTCATAACATGTTGTGCCAAACCAAATGCATACCTCAAACAATGTTTTCCTTTGATATTTTTCAATTCTGCTTTAATTCTGCTGACTGTTTTTACCACCTATTTATGTTTAAGGTATTTGGCTCAACATACTAGGTATGACGTATGAATCAAGGCTGAACCTTCTTTAGTTTGGGTCAACACAAATGTGCTATTGTGCAGCACAACAGAAGCACGTCGTATGAACCAGACCTTACATTTGCACTTATTTTACACTGCACATTTGAGGGAACTTACTCTCATTGCATGTACGCATTCAATATTTTGATATTGAACAGGATTGAAATTTAGGATGGTGGATGTTGCATGTCAAACCTCATAAACATTCATAAGTGAATAGGATATCCCCAAAAGATCAGTTTTTAGAGATTTCTCAAAATTTCCCTGCCAGATATTGTTTAAACATGACAAACATGCAATTAATATCTTGTGGATAGTTTGGTTGTAGTTTGTTTTTCATCATCTGCAAACACA